TGTTTATTATTAGCAATGTTCTTCCGACGTCTGATTTCTTTTTAAAAAATGAGTTTGTAAAGTGCATAAACTTTTGGGATTGACTGTATAGCCAATACATCCTTAAATTTTTCATGTGGTGTGCTCGTACATATAAACACTTTTACCTTTTTTTCCAATTTCATGAAAAGAGCAAACCCAAGGATAAAAATAATAGCAGTGGATTTTGTCATTGTGTACCTAAAAATAGTTAATTAAAATTATTTTCTAACAATAAATGTATTTTATTTATTGATACATACAATGATATTGTAATTAATGAAATTGCCCAATTTGATAGACCAACATCAAGACCACTGGCTATGCCAAGTGGCATAATCGTCCCTATTATGCTTTGCAAGGGGAGCTTTAATTGTTGTTGCTTTCCCCAACATGTTTTGATACATCTTATTGAAGCGGCGAATAAAAATTTAATTAACAAGTGGCATATCACTACAATAAGAGGATAATGAAATCCCTGAAAAATTAATTCCGATTTAAAACAAAATTGGACAATCAGCAATTCTTATGAATTATAAATTCTGTTTTCACTTACATATGTATTGTAAAGCCATTGTACATAAAATGTTAAACCTACAGACAAGACAAAGTAACATAAAATTAGTAAAAGTATCCTAAACGTTTTTTTCCAAAGGGATACTTCTTTCTTGGATACATTTGAATATTCTTGAACAGGTTGCAAAAAATAGTCTGATGTATCATCTGTATCCTTGGCAATTTGATACTTCACATGTGATCTTGTCATATTTTACAAAAAGTAATCTGGAAATATAAATTATGATGTCACAGCTGTTTGAATGATAGACTCGATTCTATAGAGGAAATGAACTAAGTATTGGCACATGTTTGCAAAATACTTTTGTTATCTACTGTTCGTAATTCCCTTTGTTTATATCGAAATCGTTTTTTAATGAAAATTCGCAAATTATGTGTAACATCATGCAGAAAAGTAAAATATTCTTCGATAGGATAATAAATACTTTGAACGTACCCTTTTATATATCTATAAATACATAAAAATAGTAATAAATTGTTATGTTATTTGCATTAGACATCTG